CTCCTCCTCCTCCTCCTCCTCCCCCTCCTCCTCCTCGTCCTCCTCCTCCTCCTCCTCCTCCTCCTCCTCCTCCTCCTGCCCCTCCTGCCCCTCCTGCCCCCCTCCTCCGCCTCCTCCCCCTGCTCCTCCTCTTTTTCCTCCTCCCCCTCCTCCTCCTCCTCCTCCTCCTCCTCCTCCTCCTGTCCGTAGCCATTTTGGCTCAAGGCCAAAATGGTGCTCTTTCCACTGCCTGTCTGGGGTAGGCTCCCACAGCTTTCAGCGATCTTCATATCTGCAGCCACACTCACTAGCGAGCTACCGCCCAGTCCATTTCCCTCCTGTGCGGCCCTTGCGAGGGCACCCCACGACGCTGTCCAGCGATGGCCGCCACCCGTGGCGGAGCCGCAGTAGCGGATGGAGGTGCTGATGCCGCCAACGACGGCAGCTACAGACCGCGAGGACGCGCAGACGGCTCGCGAGGTGCACCTGGGCGTGTGCATTCCCAGTACCAGTACCTTTACCAGTACACCATTTGCAAGCGGTGCCGCTACAGATGGACGTGTAAGGGGAAGTCCGAGTGCTTCAACTGCGGCAAGGCCTTGGCCCTATCACCAACGGAGCTCCGTCAACCGACAGGAGCTTGGGCAGGAAATGGTAAGCCACCGCCGTGGAAGGACACGCAACCGCCCGCCGTCCCCGGCAAAGACACCATCTTCGAGGCGATCAAGCCCGTAAGCACGCCGAGCTCGTCCGCAACATCAAGGACGCCCTCCGCGAGCCAGAGAAGCAGCCGCCAGCCCGCTCAGCCGAGTAGGCACTCCAGTCAGCGCTCTCCGTCCACACCGACAGGGGGAAAAAATTCCAGCAGGCGGTCGACGACGTTGAAATGGCTAAGCAATGGCACGACGATGCCATGGCCAGGCAGGAGCAAGCCGCACTCGACCTCTTTTAAGCTCAGAGCACCTGCACCAAGGCTCAGGCAGAACACAGCGCCAAACTTGCAGAAGTTGGCGCACGAGGGGCCACCGCCATCGGCCCCCAGGACACCTTCAAGATCGAAAGCCCGATGTGGGACGACCTCAGCGTTTACGGCGGCGCCACCAAGAACCAGATGGAGAAGGGGAAGGCGGAGCTCGACCAGCGAGTTCAACCCTTCAACGATTGCCAGGAACACATCCGAGACCTTCTACGACAAGCCAAAGAGTCGAGCACAAACCCCGCCAAGCGCAAGAAGGCGAGCACGGATGCGACCGACCCTCAGCCAGCTCCCATGGACGCCCCACCTGCATGGGCACAGGACACCCACCGGCCTCCTGCCGAGCACAGAGGACAAGCTACCGTCGGCCAGTCGCCAGCATCGCCCGCTGCACCTGATGTGTCACAACAGCCTGGTGCGCATCGCGCCCCGGCCGACGCCAAAACCATCCGAAGAAGATCGAAGGGCAGCCGCCAACCTCATCGCGACCGCCGAGAGGGCCAAGCAGATGGCCCAGGCCACCAAGGGGAAGGGCAAAGGACTTGCCCAGCCCGCAACAGCGGCGGCAGCACCACCACACCCTTCGGGGTAACGACAAGAAGGAGATGAAGGCCCATATCCGATTCGGCAACGTTACCGAGTGGGGACCACAGGCCGCCAACTTCTGCCGCGCCATCGGGTGCACGTACCACCTCATCGCCCTGGCCGAGACCCGCGTGGGCGCGAATGGCATCCTTGGCCAAATCGGGAAGCTCGCCGTGGACGGCTGGAAGCTGGCCGCTGCGCCAGCGCTGCCGACCTACAAATCCGACAAGGGAGCCCACGGTGGCGAGTGGGTTCTCACACGGCGCGACATTGCAGCCACAACTTTTGAGGGGTGCAGGGAGCATTACCTCAAGCGGCACAACAGGCAACCGTTCGTGGGCTTCTCGCCGACGATCTACCGCGCCAAGAGCGGCGACGTCGTGGTCGTTGCGGCCTGCCTCCGGCCTGGGCTCCGCGATCAAGGCGCGAACAGGGGCATCTTGGCCTCCATCTCCACATTCGTGGACATGCTGACCGCCCCGTGGGTCATTCTCGCGGACTGGAATAAAGAACCGCGCTGGCGGGGCGACGAGACGTGGCTCGCCGAATGGCAGGGCGCCGTCCTCAACGACCCAGAGTGCAAGGCCACGTGCGACAAGGGCAAGGGCTCCGCGTGCGACTGCGTGATCGCGCGCGCGGACTTCGTCGCGCGCCTGGACGTCGAGGTGGTGTGCGACGTGCCCTGGAAGAACCGCTGCGGCGTCAAGGTCGCGGCGGGCCGCGCTGGGCCGTGGGCGCGCAAATCTATCGCGGTTCCCAAAGCCCTCCCCGCCCGAGCCAGACCTGGAAAGGTTGCGGACCCTGGCAGTGCAAGGTCCAAGGCTCGATCGGAGGCGTTGAGAACCAGGGGGGAACGGGTGCCTGAGCACAAGCGCAACGAGTTCGACACCTTCCACTCCGAGAGTGTGGGCGCGGCCAAGGAACGCCCCGCGCCGTCCATCATCCCGCAGGCTGGCCGGGACAAGACCGCCGGCGAGGTGCGGAACTACCCGAGGTTCGGGCAAACGCGTCGGCGCCAAGGGGGGCAGGGCCACATATAGAAGGCTGTAGCGCAGATGAACTCCGCGTCCGCCCAGTGGGTCGCGACCGTGGAGATAGAGCCCTCCTGAAGACGCACCGCGTCCCCGCCGACGGGCGGGCCAGGTGCCGAGGCACGGCTGGGGGCTACAGAACCACCGGGCGGGTTATGAAGGCATCGCCCGGGAGAACGCGCCTCGGGGGCCCCGAGGCCACGTGGTGGCGAAGCCTCAGCGCGCTCATCTTGCGGTGCGCAGCATTGGTCAAGAATGCGAAAGACCCCGAGGCGCGCCAGCAGATCCACAGGGCCCCCCCCGGCAAGCTCGAGGACCTGGGCGACCCACAGGCCCAGGATAACCATTTCGGCGCCAAGACGGTCCCGGAAGAGACCGACGAGTGGAAGGCCCAGATCAGCACCCTCGAGTTCTGCGAGGGTGGCGACCTCCAATACCTCTGCGCCACTACCGCAGCGCGGGCGCTCGCGGCCATGGCCAGGGCAGCGGGCAGAGCTCGGAAGAGGCACCCCGAGTGGGCGAAGCTTGCCTGGGAGGACTCCCCCGGTAAGCTCCACCAGGCCGTCGCGGACCTTGAGACGCAGCGCTTGGAGGGCAAGATGGGCTGCGCCACTGTCGGCGACCTTGCCTGGTCATGAACAAGGCTGCGGGCGCGCGGCGCGGCATCTGGAAGTCGGATCGCTACGGCGAGGATCAGATCATCGACGCGTGCGAGAGGGCCATCGAGCTCGCGAAGGAGGACCCCCTCCCCATCATCGAGCCCCAGCACATCCAGGCTGTCGTCGGCGTCGCCAACCCCAACAAGCCGAGAGGGGTCGACAACGTCGGCCCCATCGACATCCAGAGATTCCCCCAACAGGGCATCCAGGAGCTCTCCAACATGTGCACTAAGGTGGAGCAGAGCGGCCTGTGGCCGCAGCGGCTTTGCGCCGCAGACGGAGCGATGGCTCCCAAGCCTACTGGCGGGGTCAGAATCCTGGGCGCGCTCCCAACGATCCCCAAAACATGGGCCAATATACGATCCACCATCACCGACGGGTGGTCCAAGGAGCTGGCGGAGCTCTGGGACACCGCCATCAAGGGCTCCGGCGCGCTCGGGGCCGCGCTGGTCAGGGCCCTCCCCGACGAGACGGCAGAGGCGTTCGGCGCAGCCTTCGCCGCGATCCTCATGGACGTCGAGAATTTCTACGACTCGGTCTCCTACGCGCTCCTCTTCGACGCCGCAATCGGTGTCAAGTTTCCACCAATCGTCGTGGCGCTGGAGGTGCAGCTCTACCTGGCCCCCCCAGGTACCTGCGCATGCACGACTGGGTGAACGACGTCATCGACCCTCAGCGGTCCATCGTCGCGAGCAGCTGCAGCGGTGGCAAGCTAGCGAAGGTCTATCTCGGGCCGATCCTCCAGAGGGCCCACCACCCACAACTACACCTACGCGGGCTTGTAGACCTCCGAAGTCGACAGCGTCGCCAGGACGGAGGGCCAGATGAAGCAGGTCATCAGCGACTTTATTGGTGTGGCGACGGACCTCAGCACTGGCGTGACGGAAGCGGGCCTCCGAGTGTCTCCCAAGACGACGGTAGTCGCCTCCGCCCAATCGATCGCCTTCGCGGTCCACGTAGGCCTCAATAAGAAGGTCTACTCCACCAGAGTGGCCAACGCGCCCGTCGACCTCGGCATCGACGTGTGCGGCGCCGAGCGGAGGGTCGCAGCCGAGGCTGTCATGCGGGCCAAGATGGCGAAGCGCCGCGCCGACCGCATCATCGCGAAGGTCAGGGTGCGCGCCTCTCTCGCCAAGATCGCGACAGGTCTGTGGACGACGGGATCGAGGCCCCAGGGCGCGTGCGGGCACCTGTGAGAAGCAGGTCGCTCGGGGGTGGTCGGCCGCAAATATCATTGAAAAAAGCGGCGGGGGGGGGGGGGGGGGTATGGGGAAAGTGGGGGTAGTGCAATAATTTGCGCAGCTTTTCACATGGTTTTGTTTTTTTTTGTACGATATCGTTAAACTTATGTTTGTAAGTAGCAAATCGCGCCATTTGTCACAAACTTTCGTTCGGTTAGCGCCGCATTTTCGGTTAGGTTCGCGCCGCGCTTTCGGTTTGGTTAGCGCCAAATCCCTTTGGGGCTTTGGGTTATTGCCGCACTTTCATCAGCCGCGTGTATATTAACGACGTTCTTACATATTTCCGTATACGCCAAGAGATCGCATATTTCAGAAAATATGATTTCTTATCGACACTTTGCATTTTTTGCAATCTGCTACAGCCCATCCCCGTTGCCTGGTGCAGCGGGTTGTAGGTGGGCGGTGGGTGGGGGGGAATGCGATTTCGGCGGGGGGGCAGCGCGCGGTCGTGCCGGCAGTCGCGCGCGGCCTTCCGAGCTCGTTCTGAAGTTTTCCGAAGCCTTCCGGAAGTTTCCGAAGTCCCCCAAGCTTCCCGAAATATTTCCGAGGCCTTTCGAAGGTTTCCGAAGTCCCCCGAGGCCTTCCGAAAAGGTTTTTCGATGCCTTCCGAAAATTGCCAAGGCCTTCCGAAAGTTTCCGAGGCACCCCGAGGCATTGCGAAAGTTTCCGGAACCTTCCGAGCCCTCCAGAGAGCGCGGCGGCGGCCGCGGCGGCCGCGGCGGCCCTTCTAGGCCGTCCTAGGCCCCCTCCGCCGCGACCGCCGCCGCGTCGTAGGCTCGGCGCGCGGCGCGGCGGTGAGCGCTGAGGGGGGGGGGTGGCCGGAGGGTAACCAGGGGTAGCCAGGGGTCGCCCGCCTCAGCCGAAGATTGAAGACTGAGGGGTAGCCGGGGGGTAGCCGGGGGTAGCCTGGGGTAGCCGGGGGTCGCCGGGGATAGCCAGGGGAGGCGGGGGGGGGCGGCGGGGCGCGCGGAGAGCCGCGATCGCGCGTTCGCGCGCCGAATGAGGCGCCGAGCGCGCGCTCGCGCCGTTTGGGGCCCAGACGGCGCGCAAACGCGCGATCGCGCCTCGCCCGCGCTTCCCCAGACTCACTCCGCGTGCTTGGGGCGACTCGCGAGGGTCCGAGGGCTCGTCCTCCTCCTCCTTTTCCCGCCTCCTCCTCCCGCCTCCTCCTGCCTCCTCCTCCTCCTCCTTTTCCTCCTCCCCTTGCCTCCTCCTCCTCTCCTCCTCCTCCTCCTCCTCCTCCTCCTCCTCCTCCTCCTCCTCCTCCTCCTCCCCCTCCTCCTCCTCCTCCTCCTCCTCCTCCTCCTCCTCCTCCTCCTTGTGTCAGTGCCCTCCGCCAGGCGGGTGGAGGGCGATGAGCGGGTCCAACTTGCGGCCCCGATTGCGGCAAATGGGGTCGTTTTGTGTTGGCCTCAGTTTCGGTCGATTGCATCTCGTGGAGCCTTCTCGCTCAGATTTTCTTGGCATCTGGATGTCGGGACATCGGGTTTCTTAGTGTCTCAGGTGTTGTTCGCGGTCAGATTTTTTGTGTGGTACAGAATCATGAAGGACTTCACGCGCGATCGCCGTCTGCGGCTGTTTTAGCTCATAATTTGGTTCGCCAGCTGCGGTCTTTCGCTCGCGTGTCGTGCGCGGGCGAGACTTTGTTTTTCTTGCCGTTTTCGACGTGTGCGGTCGTTTTGCTAGAGTGTGGGCGTGGAATTTAATGCTTGCTACGTCGTGATCAATCGTTTTTGTGGGCGTTCGGAAGCAACAATCAAGCGCGCTGTTTATCATGGCGGCAAAACCGAAAATCGCTGATTCCTGACATCGAACCACGATTGGAGCGCCTACCACCCCCTAGCGACCTGCCTCTTACGCGGGCGCCAGATCATGGGCCTGTCCCCGGCGGCCATCCTCGAGCAGCGGCGGCGGGCAATCCGGGCCTCCGCTGGGAGAGCCCCAGGGCGGTGTCTCTCCACCGCGCTGGCCGCAGTCCTGGGGCAGACAGGGCCCCGCCGTCGAGTTGAGGCGCCAGTCGATCACGGAGTGGCTCCACTTCTGGTTCAACCACCCAGAACACCACCTGCGGGTCACGCAGGCGTGGGAACTCCTCTACGGCAAGACGATCAGCCGCGGCAACGAGACGTGGAGGAAGGTGAAGGGGCCCATCGCCGCCATTCAGGTCATCCTCGCAGATGCGGGATGGACGTGCCATGCGCCATGCGAATGGTATCCCCGCCAAGTGAAGGAGAGACCGAAGTACAATGATGGCTCTTCCCACGCAGCAGCCAACCACACTGGGAGGACAAGAAGAACGACGTGGACCCTGCGGAGTTCGCCGCGTGTTCTGCCTCCCCATCGAGAACGGCCCGTGGAAGGGCGCAGCCAAACGCCCACGCGGAGAAGGACTGCAGCGTGGAGGCCCAGACGCCCACGTCATTGCGCACGAGATGGAGAAGTTCACCAAGAAAGGCCAGCGCGACCAGTGGGCCCTCAACCTCTGCGTTGTCGCGGGGGGGCAGTGGCCCAGGGAACGCCTCGTGGAAACGGGGTGCCAGGCGTGCAGGACGTGGCCGCGCTGGGGGGGCCTCCGACGAGACGCTCGTGCGCAGGATCTGGCAGTGCGCGTGCAGCCGCGACCGCGACCACTACGCCGATTCTGACGCCCGCCTTCTCTCGGCCCTGGCTGGGGCGGAGGCTTTTCCGGCCCGGCGGCTCCGCGGCCTGCCTGCCTGTGCGCTGGCGCGCGCCCAGTTTTTTCGTCGCTGGGAGGGGGTGGCGTGTGGAGCTGGCTTGGGCTGGGCTGTCACCACCCACCAAACCACCCCAACCCAACCCGAAGGTACAAATGTCCTCAATTTCCAGTGGGGGGGGGGGTCGGGGAACGTTGGGAAAACACATGGAACCCGTACCCCCCAAACCCGGAATTCGGGTCAAATTCGGGTCTTCGGGTTGGGTTGGGGTGGTCTGGTAGGTCGTCAGGCTGGGGGGGCTGTGCCAACGGCGACGGAACCTTCGCCCTCTTCGGCGACGGTTCGGGCGGCGACCCCCGTCGCCGCAGGGTGGGGGCCGCCTGCGTCGCTATGTGGTGCCTCTTCGGGGAGCGGGTCTCCATGGGGAGGCGTGCGGTCGGGCCCGGAGGGCCCCTTCCAGGCGGTGCCGCGGGCCGAGCTTTTGGTTTTTGCGCTCGCTCTGAAAAGCTGGCCGGGCGATCTCTGCTTTACTATTGATCACATGTTGCTCTACGACGGGTGGAGAACGAACCGCCACCTTCCACAGCGAAGGCGCAACCAGTGATTTCGGGGCACGCATTGCCAAGGCAATGCGAGCCCGTGGCTGCAGTAAGCTAGAGGTCGCCTGGGTGCCGTGATACAGCGAGGGTGCACCTGGCCTGGCTTCTGACCCCGTCCGCTACTTCCATATGGTAGGCAAACCAGCGGCTGACGCTTGGGCAGGTGTAGCCGCCCAGGTCTCATACGAGGCAGCCCTCGTGGGCCAAGCGCACCCCGCCGACCTGCATGACGCCCGGCGTGCCTTCATCCGCAGGAGGGCGCGCAGGGCGCTTGCAGACGCGCTTGCGGTGGATCCATGGGTCGCGGAGCGACCTTCGCAGGCCAAAGGCCCACGTCTCGCCGAGCTTCAGCTGGCCAAGCAGGCCAGCCAGCATTCCTTCGAGCTAGGTGCTGCCAAGTACATGTGCATACGGTGTGGGTACACTACTGACCCGTGCAAAGTGGGGCAGGCATGCGCGACGCTCTGCCACTACAAACCGATGCAGCCAGCGGCCAGTGAGGGAGTGGTGCCGGTACAGGGCGCCGCTACCATCTGCGGGCGTGAGCTCCACGCCTCCCATAAGCTACACTACGTGCAGAAGTACTGTCTGTACTTCTGCCGTGAATGCGGCAAAACGGCCACGCAGGACCCACGCCATCTTGCCGCGCCCTGCATGGGTACCACTAGGAAGAAAACGAGAGAAGCTCGCCAATATTGACAGCGGACTGTTTACCCGC